TGATCAAAAGCACAATTGAGTCAATGCATGAAACAATAGATACCAATATGAAATCATATAATCGCTTAAAAAGACATATAAAACCAATAGCAGTTATGTAAATTTAAGAGTCGATTCAAAAGTTTGAACGTTATTACTTTTAATGATTGATGTTATGTAACCCGACCATGCTTTCTCCTTGCACGAGCAGCATGGCCGTCTCATTTTTTTTGTAAGGCCCTAGACAAAAAAAAAAATTTGAACCATTTTTAAGAGAAATTAAAAAATAATAATAATAATCTAGGCTCTTTTTTTAAAAAAAATTTAAAAAAATTTAACGCGGACCCTATGCGATAGAACCACTTGCCACCCCTCTTAGACGAGCAGCGTTCTTAGCGTTCTTTATTTTAGGCATTAGGACTTCGCGTAAACGTATTCTATGGTTTGTGCATGCACTTGTGGAGGAACCTAAATTGAAAAAAAAAAACACTTGTTGAAGCCATCGTTGAATCATAGACCCACACTTGAACTTTAAACCCCAACATTTAAAAATATGTCCAATCAAAATTGTAAGGGATTATTCAGAAGACTTAATTAAATATCCGCCTAACTTAAAATTGGTGATAATTAAGAGTGATGATAACTTCAATCCACCGTGGCATGGTGTCATTTATTTGACTTTCACAAGTAAAAATCAATCACAAAGGAATGATATCAAATAAATCAGTCACACACATACAACTACAAGTGTATATATAAAGCGCTGCTAAATTGGCCACATTCCTTTTTCTTGTTCGTATCAGAGACAGAGAGAGAGAGGGACGATCTTTACTATCTGAAAAAAATCTCTTCCGAGTCCAAGTTGCGTAGCCGTAATCGTCGTCCCTCTTCCCGAGATTTCGAAACCCTAACTTCATCTTCCCTCTCTGATTCGCCATTTTTTTGGATCGAAGATGGTAGCTGATAGCAAATCCGACCTTTCATTGCCCAAAACTTTCGCCTGCAGTGCCTTCGCTGCTTGCGTCGGCGAGGTATTTTCCGGATTCCCCGATTTTCCATGTGTTTCTTTCTTATCGCTTGAGTATGCTTCGATTGTACGCGCAAATGTATTGCGAATTTTCGTGTTCCGATCAGGTTGATCTTCGTTTTGTAGCTAGAGGATCGTGTTGTTGGATTCTATATACTATTTCTGTAGATTATTTGGTTAGTTTCAGTTTCGAATGGAATTGATGCGATTTCTACAGTCGGAAGGAGAATATTTCAGCTTCTTTGTTTGTATAAGATTAATCGGTCAGATCTGTAGCTACGATTGCGTATTGGCGTTTGGATTGCAGTGTTTGACGATGTTAATTTGTGCTCTCGAAATGTTGATTTTGTGAAAACTTCAATAATGGAATCGATTTGAGCATTGTATTTGTGTTCTGCAACGCAAATTGTATAATTGTTGTTTTTGGCCGTCAGAACAAACTGTGTGTGTGCTGCTTCCTCTGATAATTCTGTGTTGCATCATCCGTATTGACTTGATGTTTTGAAATTTCTTATGCTAAATTGAACTCTGGACTAGGTATGTACAATTCCGTTGGACACTGCTAAAGTTAGGCTTCAGCTCCAAAAGTCTGCTATTGCTGGAGATCTTACTCTACCTAAATATCGGGGATTGTTGGGAACTGTTGGTACCATAGCAAGGGAAGAAGGTCTTCGTTCACTGTGGAAAGGTGTTGTACCTGGATTGCATCGTCAATGCTTGTTTGGAGGACTAAGGATTGGAATGTATGAGCCGGTGAGTTTCATATCTACTTCTTTCATGATGCTCTAGAAAAATGTGCTCGTTGTTGCTACTTAAAAGCTTAACCAATTTGTTTTCCTCAGGTAAAAAACTTGTACGTTGGGAAAGACCATATAGGTGATGTTCCATTGACCAAGAAAATCCTTGCTGGTTTGACAACAGGTGAGTGGTAGACCGGCTTAGAAGAAACTGAGGATATATGTGTTCTTCTGGATCACTGAACTGTGTTATTATTGTTGTTGTCTAATTCTCAGGTGCGCTGGGTATCATGGTAGCGAATCCCACTGATCTTGTGAAAGTTAGGCTTCAGGCTGAAGGGAAACTAGCTGCAGGTGTGCCAAAACGGTATTCTGGAGCGCTGAATGCGTATTCAACAATTGTGAGACAGGTAGTTGTCTCTCCATGGAAGTTGAGATTATGCATAAGTTTTGCTTAAACACTGCTTCATATCTATTTGTTCTGGGGCTCTGACAGGAAGGAGTCCGAGCTCTTTGGACTGGTCTTGGACCTAATGTGGCAAGAAATGCAATCATCAATGCTGCTGAATTAGCGAGTTACGATCAAGTGAAACAGGTATGAATACAAACTTTTCTCTGCTTCTCTTGTCTAACTAAAGGATCCTGATAATTTAACCAACGTTCTTGTTAATTTTTTCTTCTCTTTCAGTCAATCTTGAAGATTCCGGGTTTCACTGACAACGTTGTCACACATATTCTATCGGGACTGGGAGCAGGATTCTTTGCTGTCTGCATTGGTTCCCCTGTTGACGTGGTACGTTATCGACACATGACATTAAACCTTGAGTTTGTTCACTACATTTCCTGATTTTCTTCTTGAATCTTGTTGTATGGCAGGTGAAGTCTAGGATGATGGGAGATTCTGCATACAAAAACACTATTGACTGCTTCGTCAAAACATTGAAGACCGACGTAAGTAACTCTGCTTCTGTCTCTTCTAAACATAGCCCCAAAAACTGTTTCTAACTGAGTTTTTTTCCTCTACAGGGTCCTATGGCATTTTACAAAGGTTTCATCCCCAACTTTGGACGCCTTGGCTCATGGAACGTCATCATGTTTTTGACCCTCGAACAGGTAACAACTAATGAAACTTTGATCGTATCGATTCAATCACACGAAGCCTTTTTGTTTCTCTTTTTCTAATCTCGGTTCTTAATACTTTGATCCAGGCAAAGAAGTTTGTCCGGGAACTAGACTCGTCCAAGAACTGAGACACATAGTTTTATGCAGAGAGAGAATAAGAGCTACATTTTTTCTTCTTAACTTCGGTGATCGAAAGAGACAAGAACTTATTGTTTCTGATTAGAGAGTCAGTTTTCAAGCAAAACTGTGAAATAAATTTCTGTGGGTAGCTCATATTTTGGCTGTACCATTCAAACATTTATCAAAAACATTACATTTTCCGCAAAACCGAGAAATCAAGAAGAAGAAGCATCATTCTCAGCTCAGTTTCTTATTTTCCGGATAAGCCCATATCTCGAATCTAAGGCAAAGCTCTTTAGTTTTGTTGCAGATAAACACTATAGATCCATCTATGTAATCCTCGTATCTCTCGTAAAAAGCTGGAACCATCATAACCACCAAAACCCCTGCCAGAATAAACACAACCGAATGAATCTCTAGCTTAAACCAGCCCAAGCCGATGAGAGATACACATGAGAGAATTACTTACCGGTGTGGCAAAGTGTCTGAAAATCTGCGAGGCTTCCGATGAATGAAATGAGAAACAGAACGACTGCTACTTTGGTAAACAACTCTGAGTCTCTTCCCATTGCAATGTCATGCGATACTTGCAGCAGTTTATTCACATGGATGCGTAATAACTCCGAAACTTCTTCCGCCATTGCTTCGCTTATTTGAAACTTCGGTAATGGCGGTGATGGTCTGAGCCAATGAAATTGAATTAGAAATGAAGGAACATTATTTAACTCAGGAAGAGACTTTTTGGTTTTATTACCTGTTGAGAATGGATGCAGATTTGGACCAGAGGAAGAGAATTGAAAGCAAGAGAAGAAGAACACTTGAAACAAGAGTGAAGATGGTATAAGCAAATGACTCAAACACAATCCATGAAGCTATTGTCACTGTAACAATACCAACACTCAAATCCTTCTTCCTCCACAGCATCACATCTGCAACTGCAGATTCATTTATATATAACAATAAAAGAAGGTTAAAAGGGTGAGAGATCACAAGGTATTGGATTTGGTAATGATATAAGGATTCATTTACCAATGCCACTTCCTAGAATCTCATGTATTGTCCTCTCTCTGTTAAACAACTTGTTCGAACAAGAACCCATTTGAGAAAGCAACTTTGATTCAGGTTGTTCTTCAGATCCCAAAAAGTTACCCAGAATGTCAAAAGATAGACGAAGAACAACAAATCATCAAATCGAAAGAAGAGAGAGTATGGC